AAATTCATGTGCGCTTCGCAGCAGTCGTCAGGAGCTGATTTTGGGACATGATATAGGGGGTGGGACGGCAAACATATTTGGTGGGGGTCACCAAGTGATAACGACTGATGACGACTGATATAACGATATGCGTACGAACGTAGAGAGCACTTGAAATAGAAATAGAGAGCAGATTGTAGATAATGCCTTTCATTTCAATATCATTTCATCAGCGTTGTAATTGTAAACTCAACACCTTTCGACCGCTACACCTTCTAGAGTTCTTGAGGATGAATGGGATGCTCGAATAAATATGATAATGAATACTAGGCATTCCGTTTTGAGATATTCGACCGCTAAATTACCTCGATACTCGACGCATAGTGGTTGTTTACATCATCACTTTAGCTGTGCACTTCACTGCGCTTATCAAACAGTGAGATACAGCCAAGATGGGCAGCCTATGCAACGGACAGTAATACATTTAACGAAGCAGCTATAATTTAGCGGTGAAACCTAAAGCTTCATCGATTGTCAGTTCTATCAATGCGCGCCCCGCGCCGGCTCACCGCCCCCGCGACGGAGCTAACTGGTGATAAAACTACATCAGCCATGAAAACTCTTATTTCCCAATCGAACGTCTAAGCTTACACGCCCACACCGACCTTAACTCAATGTTCATCCTACACATCCCCTAGAGGTCAACCCCCACCCCCTCTAACACGCCTGCATCCCAGCGCCATAGCGTCGCTCCTTCAGTGTTGGTTGCGCGAGCCACATCACGACAAGGCCCCCAAGGCTTCCAACCTGACTTATTTTGTCTTAGCGCACCATGAACGGAATTCTGAAACGAGAAACCGGATCTCTGACACAAAAGAGGCACGGCTGTTACTGAAACTACCAAGGTTCAGTATTTTTAGACGCCAGGTCTACTGTTTGCTTTCTATTTAACTTATTGTAAGTATTGGATTGTCCCATGATCACAGTCGACGAATATTCGACTTCTTTTCATTCAACTTCTTCTCTCCTCTTAAAACAGACTGACAAAAAAAAATATAAACAATTACACATAACCATATGTAAATGCTCCTTTGCCAGAAACTTATGGTGCTTCCTCCAAAGACAGAAAGCTAGGAATTTACAGGGCAAAGTTGGCTCAGACCCATTTAAAAAAGCCCTTACTATGGCTAGAGGTGTTGGGTACGCAAGTGCAAAGGTAGCGCCACCTTTCTACATCAAACGCGTCACTAAGACCTCAGGAGCTATGCATTCAAACAGGACCACCAAACTTAACATGGCCCGCCCACGCTCGATATCTTGTCTGCGTCGCAGTGCTGATCTGCTATGCACTCTCTTGTCGAACTTCTCTACCACTCTCTGCGCCTCACATTATCTCTCATCTCCCTGTCTGACTTTTGAACTTCTCCACAGCATGGAGCAAAATGCTCGTATTTCCTGTGTATTTCAGGATTTTCATTCTTTTTTCTCCACTGGCGGATCCATCTCCCATCCCTACTTTCACATTTCGAGTGGAATCACCCCATCAATTTATCCTGATTCTTGCCTTTGAGTATTCGGGCAAGGCCTTTTCTGGGGTGGTTGTATTTATTGGCTTTTTTCTCTCACCGCTGCTGCCTCGAGGAGTTGTGAAGGAGGATGGTCCGAATGGAGTCTGCAGGGCTATATAATGGACGTGGTATATGGTCCGCCAATTCGTCGAGAAATTTAGGACGAGTCTACATCAACTTTGAAATGTGAGAATTTTTGGGGATAGTTCATTAGGAAAGTGAATTTTGAGACTCATTCAGAGACGCCGTCTCCCTCAGCAACCTTTTCGCAGTCAACCTGCCCCCGAGGACCCTGTAACACGATGATTCACGCAATCACATGTCGCCTATAGCAATGACGGTTCATGAAAAGGGAAACTCCACTATCAAACAAATCGACAACAACTTACTTCGCCATCGCCATTAGCTTCTCAGTTTGGCTGCTCGAGTCCTCGTCTGCGAGGTCCTCTACCAGTCGTTGTGGTCGCGTCATTTTCATGGTGATCGACTAGTGAAAGTAACGTCGAAGCAGCAGCAAGAAAAAAATTCCGCAAATGGTCAGACGTGCTTCTCGGTCATGGTCGGCCGGTGCGATTCTGCGGTTTCCATCGAGGCTCAATTCTGCTGCAGCCGTTTTCATTCAGATGGCCAGCGATGGTGCATCGGGTTTGTCTAGGTTCTGCAACAGAACTCCTGGTAGTAAGCGTAGTGCACTCCAAAATCATGGCTTTAGGGGGTCCTCATATGAAATTGCGTGAGGATGAGTGAGGCTTACTTTCGGGCACTTGTATTATCTTTGGCCATTGCGGTCGAGCCACTAGCTCAATGCCGATTAGCAAGTTAAAGACTGAGCCAAACACCGCGGTGATCTTTTCTGCTGTCCTCCTTGCAACAGATTTTATTTGAGGAACGTAAAGCATAACCGTTCGTTAGTGTCATTTATCTATTTCGACTTCGGATTTCAAATACCAACGTGGGCCTGACCTACCAAAACCTCCTGACCAGCGGCCCAGATATCCTTTGACATACCAATACGTTTCGAATGAACTATCATGGCTTGAGAGAGAATTTTGAATTTAATCAAATTCAGAAAGGAATTACGGAAAACCCAAAAAGTTGGTGTGTTACTGATGGAAACAAGGCTTCGCGAGTCGTTCGCAGCTATGGTTTCTGACTGCACAATTAGCTGTCATTAAAAAGAAAGAAGATGGAAGAACAATTTTTTTGATATTTTCCAATTTGGGAGTGTCGCTTCAAATCTACGCAACGCGCTCTTCCGAACCGTATTAACACTGTTAAGTAATACGATGGCAATCTTGAGCGCCTGAATGAGCGCATGATTGTAAATAAATAATTAAATTCGAGCACGCTGTACCCCTTGGTAACCCCTATGTTTAGTGGTAGTGGCAGTATGAGCAGAACAGAACAGATACGATAGTCCAGATCGATTACCAAAGGGCGTGCGCCTCCTTAGCAGTATGGTCATTCCAGATCACTACAACATTATTGTTAAACTATATCAAGCCATAATTACACGGCACCAGGTTCTATTAAAAATGACTATCCAAAAGGAATTCCAGGCCAAAAATGACTAATTCTTTTTCAGGAGTCGGTCTGATGCCGAAGGAAGTTGTCTCTCCTCAGGTAGTCGCCAACTGGTGCACAACAGGAAAAGAGCTTGGCGGCGACGTTCTCAAGAAGCTAACGAACAAACGACTGCTGTAGCCGGTCCGGCCACCGGCAGCCAACCGCACACTCCTGGCCAGGCAGGCACCGAAGAAGCCACGGTATGTAAAGATAGTCAAGAGTTGACCAACAATTGAGAGTTGAAGGCAGCGATTATTTCTCGAAAAGATAGCCCGTAGCGACCGTGACTACTCCTTCTTTAAGTGGAACGGGGTCAGAGAGGCGAGAATACATATTAGGTCGGTCAAAAAGTATCCGCCGTTTTTGCACCTCGATTAGTCCCCTGCATTTTTTGATAGTTTCTTTCGCAACTATTCAAACAACTTGGGTGTCATCTTATAGAGGAAGATCAGCCCTTTCATATTCATACGAAGGTTCGAGGTGATTCCGAGAACATTTGTCGTTTTACCCTCCTTTTAGGATAAGCAAAATCGTGATTTTCGATTGTTGCCACTTCATGTCTTCAAACTTGGAAGAGACACGCCAGGGCCAGCTCGTAATATGGCGACTGCATTGAGAAGGAGTGCTGCGGTTGGGTCTCTGAAGGCATCAAACTTAGCCTGGTGGACGCTGTGAGAAAGCAGGAAAAATGCCGTCAATCTATTCACCGGAGTAGCCCGTGCTGGCAGCTTCAGCAGTTGCGACCGCGTGTGGTGGACTTCGTTGCGACGACAGTAAGGAACAGTTTTCGAGATGGGTAATTGTGTGGGTAAGACTATGCTTCTGCACGCTAACAGTGAAGGGTTACCAAATATGTGGACGAAACCAAGCTGCCTTGGAACGCTGCAAAACCTGGAGCGCCTCCAATAAGGATTTTCCTCAATTTTCGATGGCCTAGCTCATTTCAAAGTCCGAGAATTGACTCATTCGACGACGGCCGAGTCCTGTCGTAAAGAGTAGAACATAAAACATAAGAAACTACGGGGATGATAGTCTGCTTCAAGGAAAAATGAGGTCCAGTCCTTCACCACGATAGCGCTAAATCGCCCACCGCAAAATACGCTCTGTAGAATCCATTCAGAAATGGCTCAGAAGTTCTTTTGCTATCCTTTATATAGCTCAGGTACATCTTTCACGAACCACCAATTCCCCGCTTTTCAACATAGTTCTTGGAGGAGAAATCGCGTTGAGAACTGAGGCATGTCAAATGCGCCTTCCTACAGCTTTTAGCCTATAATAAATTAAAGATCTATAGGAAGGGAAGTTCTTAGCATGGGTCTGATTGAGAACAATCTCTGCTGGACATAGCAGTTTTTATTTCGAACAAAAAGATTGTGTTTCAGCAAAGTTGTGGTGCTTCAAAATTAGGGGGTCAAAACGGCGGATACTTTTTGACCGACCTAATATAAAGACAACGCGCCCCTGCAAAGTGATGCCAGCCATTTCCTGGAAGATTCGTTGCTATGAGATATATTCGTGCGCTAGATAGCCAAGAGAAAACAAAAGGCATAGTGAGACCTCGACCAACGAAAAGTCCATGAAGTGGAGCCAGTACAGTTCATCTTTCCGAGGTTACTTAGATCGCATTTTCTGAAGTGTGTCGAAACGGGTTGCATCCTCAGCACAACTTTCGCATAGTCAGCTAGATACTACGATTCCCTAAAGCAAGGCATTGCTCGCCGCTTTGCAATTATTGCTCTTCCTGCAAGAGACAGGCCGAAAAAGTAACGTCATCTCGAAACGAATCGAAGCATGCTGCATAAGATTTGATTAACTTCTTAAGCTTCAATCCGGCGAAAATCTCGTCATTTTTAGAGTTCCGGTGTTGGATCTACTCCGTCGCCAATTATGGAAGAAGCGGAGACCATGGACCAGACGGAGGTGGAGACGCGTCCTTTGGATGTGATGGCATTGGCTGCACGGCTCGGCATCGCCTTTCCACAACTGGCCGCTGCGACTGCGACCAGCACCGCCGACACCTCGTCAGTGGAGACGCCGTACTCTCAAGCACTACCGATAGCAACATTGGCCTCACATCTGCTGGCAGCCAGTCAAAGTCTCACTGCGCCCTTCAGCGGTGGAACTGCTAGCAGTACCAGCGGGGAATCGCAAACTACGCCCGCTACTGCTGCCACCGAGGCCAGCCAGTTGGCGATGGCCTCTTTGGCGTCACAACTGTTGCCGACGACGACGCCGTCCAGCTTGTCGCTGATTGCACCCGGTTTTCAAATGCTCAACACCCAACTGCCAGTGCTCAATGAACTCTGCAATAACGAACAGCAGCAGCTCGACACACCCACTGAACACAATCTGCTTTCAATGACTTACGATCAACTCCATCCCAGCCACTCTGGTGAAGACGATCGAGGCCATGGAGTGATTCGAGTTGAATCGGTCGATGAGTCATTCGATGTACATATCTTTTCAGTTGGATTCGATGACACTGTCAGCTTTGGCCCAGCTGTAATTTCCCATGGGTGAAATACCACAGTAAGACAATAAGGGTAAGCAGTCGAAACTCGCGAGTCTTTCAAAAATAAAGCAGTAGGTCATCTCTGCGCTCCCAGAGATGAGTTGGGTTACGTTTCTGTTTTCAACAGAGGGTACGGTTCCGATTCCCGCCTAACGATTAGGAGCTAATATGTTTCCGCTCTCCGGTCCCATCGGCTTTTCATGCATTTTACACTTTGCAGTTTTTTATCCCACAATATCTCAAGACCCGCTTTTGTCTACGTTCAAGTAATTGAGCGGAAATCGGAACAAGGCCCATATAGACGAAATAAGCCGCTCCCGATTCCACCCAAATCCTTGGAGTTAAGTGACCAAATCTAGGAGACACCCTGGTTGTCAGTGCTATCTGCCACTTCTCCGCATGCAACAATGAGGTGACCGAAGACGTGAAGCTTCCAAATACTGCCGCAAGTAATTTCGCGCAGGGCGCACAGTTTCCCATCTGCCAGTGTCATCGACTCCAGCTGACTGTGCTCTAAATATACACACATAATTGTTAATAATATGAGTCTCAATTTGCCGATCTTTTTCTCTGTCTATCGATTTTACGCGTTTCATGTTTTTTTTTCTGTGTTTTCTTGATGGAATCAGTTGCATTCATTCATCGTGTTTGTTGTATATCTTCTGCACCATGTGTGGGCGCGCGCTGTGTGCGAATGTGTGATAAGATAAATTCTATTGTGTCTCTGGGGAGTTATGGACAGCCGTGTACATAGATGAAAGATTCGCGGGAGGAGCTGGAAGACGTCTGGCGGAGGACGAGGAGGAGGCGAGGCGTCAGCAGCCACCAACGCGACCCTCTTCGCCGTCACCGCCGACTCAGAGGTCCGCTGCGCAAGCCTCTCGATCGTCTAGTAGCTTCAGTCGTCGCCACCGCCTCATCCAGCAGCTGCTACTGCTCGGCGGCCTGCGCTCACCTGCCCCCCATTGATGGGCCTGGTGACAGTGCGTGATGAGTGGACGAAACTAGTCGGTCATCGTTTTCTCAACTCACAAATCTGTCTGTGGATTGGTCTATTGCAGGCGCTCGTCTGTATATGGGGTGTCGCTCAGCACTGTCACTCGTTTATTCACTACCACCAGGTAATCGAGACGACGGACATCTGTTTTCCATGGTTCCGCCCCGAGCCAATCGTTTCAAATGCAACTTTTGACCGCTATGCGCTCTAAATTCAATTCGTTCCCGTCATTCAGCGTCGGTGTCATGGGCGTGGGATGATCGGCGACCTTTTCAATGCCTCAGTCAAACACCGGCTCATTAACGCCGCACGCATACGTACACTGAGAGACCCGCCCATTTCCGACATAATCCACGTTTTTTTCGGGAGCACATCGCTTTCCTTCAGTTATACGCGAAAGATGAGTAATTATGCACAACCGGGGCATGTCGAAAAACCGTGCAGGTGCTGCTAATTTTGACCCTGCCTACTTTTTTGGTCTCTTTCCATGTGGACTAAAAAGCATGCTATTTGTCATGTAACATTTAATTTGAATGACGTTTTTTAAACTCGCCAGATTAGATGCCCTTGAGGTGACACTATAGGACAATTGAAAAGTGCAACACTTCAAACTCCTTTCGGAGATGAAGAGAAGGGAACTTGCGAGATTAGGGGATCAAATAGAAAGAAAAGTGGACAGCTATTCGTACAAGGTGGATAGACTCGTACACCTAGCTGGGGGGGGGACATCCCTTTTGCCAGCTACAATTTCATCGCTTGTTGTCTTCCACATGTAATCAACGCTGACCTCATAGATGTTCTTCTATCTTTTTTTGCCGCTATGG